AAAAAAAAAAAAAAAAAAAAAAAAAAAAAAAAAAAAAAAAAAAAAAAAAAAAAAAAAATAGAGAGAAATCAATTAAGATAGTCCTTTATTAAAAAATGTAAATTTTGAACAAATGTTCCTAAAATTTGACAATTCAAGGAAATTTTCTTGAGTCAGTTGGATCGGGTGGCTCATCGGTGTTAGGTTCTTCAAAGTCTGGTATAAATCTGTTGAATATATATACGCATATAAATATATATATATGGAGATTTATTGGCATATTCTAAAAGCTGCTTACTTTGGATATTTAGCCAGCAGATATTTTACAATAAAAGTAACACATTTTTGTACGCATCTAAACATAGCTATTAGCTAAGATTCCAAATTCAAATCTCTGGCAGCACCGTAAGGGGAACAGCAGAGATTCATGTCATTTAGCGTTGCCAGCTGCGAGCGATGCTGGCTGTTACGCGTTGCCAGCTGCCTCAACGTTTGCCGGTTGGTTAATTTCGCCAAGTTGGCAGCGCTCATCGCAACAAAATTGCGCGTGCTAAAATATTTGTTGTTGAATTGTTACATTTGCCTGTGAATAGAGTTAATCAAAAATTAAATACAAAAACTGATCGAAAATGCCCGCCGTCGAAAAGTATGTTATGTAAGTGTCTTGACTAGCAAAGCAAAGTAGACGAGTTTTATTATATTATGATACATTTCAGATACGATTGGAAGCGCCTCTGGCAAATGGTGTCCGGTATCCACTATGAAACACCCAAAGGCACAGTGCGCGAAGAGCTATTGAATGTCTGCTCGGAGCTGCAGGCAGGCGTCCTGCAGTTCAAGCCCAAGAGCGCCTCCAATGTGCAGCTCTGCGCGCTGCTCAAAGAAAAGAAACAGGAGAAACTGTTGCCCTTTACAGAACGTCTGCAGGAGCTGCTCAACCTGGAGTCCGCTCAATGCTGGGAGATACTATGCTACTATCTGACCAAAGAGTATCGGGGCTCTGCCAGTCTGCTCACACAGCTCATCTCCACAGAGACGAACATGACCAAGCTGTTGGATGACATTCGTCACTATTATTCCCTGGAGCGCATGATTGTGCTGAAGATTGTGAAGAATCTGCTTGTCTTTTACCACGTACCCAATCATCCGTACCATGCAGAGTATAGGGAAGTTGTGGACAAGATCACACTGGAACGCTTGCTCGAGTCCTACCTCAACCAACTGGATAGCTTGATCAATGAGCTGCCGCCACGCAAGCTGCTGGCAGGCGAGAGCTTCCACTGCACGGATCGCCTGACCAACTGGTCGGAGCGCAACGCACGCGAGACCAACGAAGTGCTGCACATTCTGCTGCTGATCAGCGAGCACAGAAGTTTTAGTTTTAGCCAAATCACGCGACTCTTTTCCACCATCAAGCAGCATTCCTTTGGTCGCCTACAGAGCTATCTCAACGAGTCAAATCCCTATCACAAAGAACTGATCAAAACTTTAACCTATTCGGAGCTGATGCTGCTGCTCAAGTGCCTGGACAGTGACAACGGAGAGCTAATCCAACAACTTATTGAGGAGCTCCATGTGGAGATATCCAGCATGCATCATCGGCCAGAGCACGGCCCACTGCTGCTCGTCTGGATGCTGTTGCGCCTGCGCGGCACAAACGATGCCGATGATGCTTCCAGTCTGCTGCGCTGCCGCCAGCTGGGCAAGCGAGCTGTCGAGCTCAAGTGCTTCGAGCTGCTGCACAGCATTGCGACACATGCAATGTTCTCCGACGACAGCCTGCTCTCCCGCATCGTGAGGAAGACCATCTATAACCAACTGTGCTACATGTGCGACCTGTTCGATGGCGACGGCAGCTGCGCCCGCTATGATGGCATCTTTGCGCTGCTGTGTGAGCTGCTCTCCTTTCCCCAACTCGCCAAGGACTTCTGCAATCGTAAAGGTTTGTTAAGGCTGTGCCCTTAAATTGTTACTAAAAGGTTTCTTCTCTTTTCCCAGAGGATGGTGTGCGCTCCTTGTATAATACTCTGCTCGAGAACTTTCCTCTGCAGTTCATAGACTTGGCCAACGTGGCCTATGCCTTAACCAAGGCTGGTCAAGGCAACTATGTAAGCTGGCAGCTAATCCTCTTTATTTGCATTAACTGTACATGAATACATTCTTCATACACAGATCAAAGCTCAGATGGAGTCGCTGCCCATGCTGGCGCTGCTGTATGACGAGCAGGCGCACAAGCTCAGGGAGTTGGAAACGAATGAGTATGAGCTCACCAGCCCTCTGCAGGCCTTTCCCGGCAT